GATGGCAGTGAGAGACTTCACTAACAGGGCAGACATTCTTCCTGTCTGCAATAGGAACAACAAAGTGTGGTGGGTGACAAATTAACAGACAGTGGAGTGTAAACCCTAGGAAGAAAATCAAGTTAATGACTAGTCATTAACCAGTGGATCAGCAAACTCCCAGCTTTTACTGCTGACCCTCCTCTCACAACCTTACTCAGCAAGAGGTAGTACTGAGACTTCATCTTCATGAAAGTTGTTTGGGAGGTTAATTTAAATCAAATTGTAAATCACCTTATTTTCTTTCCAAAACCCGTTTTTTCTCTTTAGGGGAAGCAGAACATCACATCTTGGATATTTCAAGGGCTACGTTATGTTACCCAGTATAACATTTAGATAATCTTGGCATCTCTTTGTTGCTATAAGCTGCAATTTTAAGAGAGGTCCAGAAAGTAGCTTAATGCATTGCCAAAGTATTTTAACCAGCTATCATACATGTGATGTACTTCACTTACTTACCAAGTATCAAGGCTTATTCTGCCACAGCTCAGACTGCCTTTTTCTGAGGTTGGCAAGGTAGACATTTGGAGGAATCACCTTGCTTTTGTTAAACATTATGCCCTGAACTTGGCCACAAGGTTGGGTGACAATTTAGGATAGCAGTGTTTCGATCACCAGTAGTTAGTGGCACCTAGTACTCTTTTATCCCACCTTCCAGGGGAGCACTGAAAACAGTCACTGAGAGTGAGATCCACATGAATGCTGACTGTGATTCTTCACACTCTTTTGTCCGTGTGGATTCCACGATGTGGCTGCTGTTTAGTGTCACCCTTCCCTAAAATTCTGAATGAATGGGAGAACTGAGGTATTATTGTAGATTCTGTGTCCTTCATACTCTTAGGGTAAGGGATGAGTAAGGAAGTGAAGGATGCAGCTGTGGCTCGTTGCATATACAATTTAAAGTCATACCCATGCAGACAAAACCTCTCAAAGGCCCATCATTACTACAAGGTAAGAAAGCATTTTTTATCACAGACCCTTTGGGGGTTTTTGCTTTCCTCTGTAGTGGGAGCCTTTACTTGGAATCTTTTGTGTGTATATTAACAACCTTTTACCGAAGCAGGACATGGGCTACCATGGTTCTCCTGCTTTACTTGTGGCAGGTTCTGTCAGGGATGATGGTACTTTTATGAGTTTAAATTATGGATTGCATAAAATGGTTTGGATAGGGATGATTGCTTATCTTGCTGGGATCCTATGACCCCAGCTGACTTCCTGCCCTTTGGGCGGGGGGCTGGACTCGATGATCTTCCGAGGTCCCTTCCAGCCCTGATGTCTATGAAATCTATGATTCTGCCTCAGGCAGGGGGTTGGATTAGATGACCTCTGGAGGTCCCTTCTAGCCCTAGTACTCTATGATTTTTATGATTACTGAGAACTTGGGCTGCTGGCAGGCACCTGTGAAAATGTTGAAAACTCTGGAACTTCAGTCTGAATGCTGAAATTCCACAGTAGAAGGAATGTCACTTGTGATATATTATTTGCTATTTATTATCCTTTAATTTAAAATGACTAATATATCCAATCAAGAAACAGAAAAATGTGACTTAAGTGACCTGCCACACCAAGGAAAAATACTTGAAAAAACTCATGAACAACCCACATTCTACACTTGATAGATTCACAGTATACAGCAAATCCTACCAAATACTGAAAACAAATTCAAGATATTGGGATTAGAACACAAATGACCTGCTAACCAAAAAAGGGGCAGAGACTGTGACAGAAGCGTGACTGGTCATAATTCTATAATGCTCTTACTTTTATTTATAAGTACTTATTGCACATACTCTGCAGATCTCTGAACACTTATGCATCAGACCCTACTGCACAGGAGTAGGGTCACAAGCTGTATCTACGTGCCAGAAATGGCAGTTAAGTGTCTGGGCAGCTGCCATGTGAGCATGCAAAGTAAAAGAGGGCTCTTCTGTTAGTTTTTCTACAGAAAAATGGACAGAAAGAAACACAAGAACATTAGAAATCCTAAAGAGAACGAGTTCCTCCATTTTAATTAAAATTAAAATAGACCATTCCATTCAATTAATTAATTGTCCCTAGAAGGATAGGATTCCACTGAGGGCTCAGATATTATTAAAGGCAACGGAGCACTTACTACATAAAAGTTCCCAGTGCATTCTCATTGGATTACAACTGAATCTTATACTGTGCCATAAGCTAATCAGGAGCCAACATGCTTAGTTCAACTTGTCCTTCCACTGAGTTTGATTGGGTGGTTAATCATTCCAATGCAGAATCTTGAAGGAGTAGATGTATAAACATATTTAGATTCCTAAAAGAAAGTGCAGACATATGGGATTTTTCAAAAGCACCTAACCCCATTGATTCCCACCAGGAAAACCTGATACCATTAACACTCAACCCCTTCACGGTTTAGAGCCTGGAGATAGGCACAGCAGCGTGACCTGTTAGTCCTAGCCTGGAAACAATTCCTGTAGTCAAAAGCTGTTCACAGAAAATGTTTTATCCCCAGCCTTTAGCTAAATACTTTAGCTCAGATGTGTCAACTAATCCTGACTCCCTTGTAATGCCATGTGGGGAGGTGACCCCTGCTGGCTATGGAACCTCTTTGTGCTATTATGTACCATTATTAGGGCCAGATTCTGTCCCCTGGTAGCATATACAGAGCTCCTGCTAACATCAGTCAGATCCAGGCAGGCACCAGAAACAAGTTGTAACCCTTAGCCCCCATTCCCGGCAGGCTGCTGCTTCTCTAAGCACTAACGTATCTCTCATTCCAGAAAGGGGCAGGCTTTCATCTGGATTTGTTCTGTGTTTCTCTGCTGATGATCCTCACATCTATGATGGGCCTTCCCTGGTATGTGTCTGCCACTGTCATCTCCCTGGCTCACATGGACAGCCTGAAAAAGGAAAGCATAACTTCTGCTCCAGGAGAACAGCCTAAGTTCCTTGGAATCAGGTATTGTGGAAAGCTATTTCCCAGAAAAAAAAATCTTGGCAGTTTCAGGACCAGTCCTTGCAGCTTAGAGAACATACCAATCAGATCCTAAGTGCCAGCCTGACCATGGAATCATACGACAGGGGTGCTGCAGGCTTTTCACAAGATATCACTGTTAGAAATCACTAAAGAGTGAAGAGTAAATGTTTCTTACTGATGATCTGATTCTAGAAGTTATTTGGAAATGGACAGCCTCTTTGTCTTCCTAGCCATTCTGATCCCATATTTCAGGTTATAGGCCAATTGCATGTGGGAGTCAAGGCAGAAGTTCCCCTTACTCTAATTCAGGGCTGCACAGCTGGGCAGCCACTTTCAGGAGTTTTGCCTTCCTCCAGAACACCAGGCATTGTCAGAGCAAGGCTCTGAGACTATTTGTATGGTAGTTCTTTGGAGCGTTCTGGATGTAAAAAATTAATGAGTGTATGGACTTGAATTGGATTAATATGCCCATCTGTTTGTGCAAGGTAACTATCAGCTTGGACTTTGCTTTTAACTAGAAAGATCTGGATTTGATCTCTTGCTCCTGGGAAGGTCTCTAGTTGTGTCCCTATAGCATGTACTAACTATATGGATTTTGTTCTTACTGTTTTTCATAGCATACCAATTCACAACTTCACATACAACTGAGCTTGGTTCCAAAATCTTTTCAAGATGCTCTTACAAGTCCTTTACACAGCCCATCATCATTGTGCTGCATGAGTGAGGCAATGATTTAGGGCCAGGGATATATCTGGGAGGATGGTGTGGCAAGATGGGCATCCCTTACTAGCCACAGCTAGCTCCCCACCTGCCTCTGGGCACACCACCCACCTGTCTCATCCACCACGCCTTGTTGGTAATTAATAGAAGTTGGTAATTAAGGCAGGAGGCTGCCCATTGTTGCACCCCGATATTAGGGGATGTCTGTGGCTCTGTACCACCCCTACACCGCAGCCCAAGCCTCGCAGATGGCATCTCAGGCAGTTAACTGGACCCTCGCCTTCACCCATTAGCTGTGGCCCCCAACCATGGGGACCTTCAGCTTTCATAAGCCCTGGCCCCGTCTCAGGCCCAGTCGGGACCCCAAGTTCCCTCGCTCATAGTAGGCGTCCCTCGTGGTGGGCCCCTGGGCCTTTTGACCCTTAGGTCCTGGCCCCAGCATTGACCAGTCGGGTCCCTCAGCAAGGTCTTCGCCTCCTGCCTGCATTTATGGAGTGGGGTTCCCCCACTCCCAGCTCAGGTGGTCCAGGGAGCTTGCTTGGCCCTACAGGGCCTCTCCCCAACTGGCTCAGGCGCTTCCCAAAGCTTACCTGGCCACTACTCCTTTCTTTGATCGTATTCCCCTCGTTCACACCATGACTGGTGCTCCTGGGTCTCATGGGGACACTCACTCCCCCACTAGAGCAGCAGGTCATTGTGTCAGCCTTAGATGTTACTCTCTACCCACCAGAAGGTGAAGGCTGGGGTTAAAGTCCCCCTACTCACCTTACACCAGGGTGATCACTGGCCTGGCATTTCCTGGGGGCTCCCGCACCACTGAGAGCCCCGCCAGGCCACCCACTCCCAGCAGGGTGCAGTTTTACATGGTGCCCAGGACCAGAAGCCTTCAAGCCATCCCCTACAGCTCCTCCCTTACCTCCAGGAGAATACCAGCAGCCTTGCAGCCAGGCAATGAGGCTGCCTCATCTTCTGCTACCAGGGAACTGATCCCGTTATAAAGGCAGCCAGGGATTTAAAATGACTGCTGCAATCAGGCACCTGCTGGCAGCTTGGCTCAGGCCCTTAAAGTGGCAGGCACTTACAGTGCCCTGCTACAGGTGGCATTATGTGTCTTCTCAGCTCTTTGGAGTTGGTTTCTTCTGCTTTTGGAACCCCTATTTTGATGCCTCTGATATTAAGGCAGAGAAATAGTGGCAGGGTGGGTTCAGAGAAGGTTAGTAAAGTGGGGCTGGGCAACTGAACAGGCCTGTCTGACCTAGGGCCCGCAGTTTCTGGCTTTATTGTCATCTTAGCCCTAGCAGTGAAGCAGAAATATAGCCTTAGCAGATGTAGAATAGATATGAAAGATAGTGTTACTTTTAGGCGGTGCTGGAGCTGACTACTGCTTCTCTGCTTTGAATCTGGGCACGCATTGGTGGGGAGGGAAGGAAGAGCTGGGGTTCAAACTTGAAATGCCAGGTGACTAACTGCAAGGATGATTGTCCACAGAGAGCAGAGGCTGACTGGTTTGGTGGTCTTTATCCTCACAGGAACATCTGTTTTTTTGGCACCTATTCTCAAGGTAATAGAGCTTTGTGTACTTCACTTCTTTATTCTATGAGTGGGAAAGTATTGGAATATCAGCAGTAGAGCTAGCACGATTCCATGTTTCATCATTCAGCTAGTTATTGCTCACTAATCATTCCATCACGAGACAGGATTAGGAGCATTCTACCATGTACATATACAATTCAAAATGGACAGCAGGGAGCAAATATAACAATATATAGTTTTAAAAAGTGTGAAAAAAACAATATAGCTGATAAAATACTGAAAGAGCAATGGTAAGAAACAGTGCCCTGAGAGTTTGGATGGACTAGATGAGACTCAGTAAGTTATGTCTTCATTCTAACTTCTGTGGGACAAATGCTAAAAGCTTCAATTTGTCTTATTCACTCCTCACTTGGATCAAACCCTCCCTCAAGATAATGTGTATCACTGGCCTGAGCATTTTGGACCAGTCTGTGTAGCAGTTTCTTCCCCAACAAATGTCTCTTTGCCTTGATCACTGTGCTATGCACAGGGCATACCTTGGGGAACAATTGGAATGAGGAGCTCCAAAAACCCCACAGAAACAACCTCTTCCCAAAAAACTAGAATTTAACTGACATGTTTAACATACAAAGCATGCGTATATAGGGAAGATGACAAAACTTTTGTGATGCTACCTTTGATTTTTTTCATCGTATAGTATGTAGTGTGATAGGGGGACAGTTAGGGTGTTTGTAGAACCTTAACTCAGAATTTCCAGTTTTCAAATATTTGTGTTTTGAAAACATTATCTTTTGGTAGTTTCCTGCTTTTTAAGCATGTTTTTGATCATCACAATAGTCTTACAAATTGTTTCCTGAAGAAACTAATCACGTCACAAACTTATCTTAACAAACTTTGCTGCCTGGGAATATATTCAGAGTCTGATTTCTTTGTAACTGTTAAGCAATAATCATAAAATTAAAACTGAAATGAAATAAGTAAACCAAACAGCCATATTTTAAGATTGATTTGGAAGATAAAGCTTTTAGAATTTAACTTCATGAAGAGAGCTGCATTAAACAATGCTAATACATTGCATTGATTTTTTCCAGTACATTCCTATGCCTGTGTTATATGGTGTCTTTCTGTACATGGGTGTGGCTGCTCTTAGCAGTATCCAGGTGAGTATAAATCCAGCCATTGTGCCACATAGCTCACCTTGACAATGTGCCAGGGTCTGGTTTTTCTATGCATGGGGTGAATCTGGGGAATGTAGCATTTTTGCTCTATAATATATATTACATCATGTAACCTGATTTTTAAATTTGCTTGTGTGTGTGCATTAATGTGTGGCTTTAGTATGAGTGGTGATACCACAAGTGCATTGTATAAATCACCCAAACTAAAGCTGGCAGACTCAGTCCCACTACATTTGTCACACTAAAACTGTCTGAGATGCATTTTAGGGAGTATATTTATCCTAAACCAGTTGGATAGCAGTTGGATGTCTGGTGTTTTATGGCCTACAGGGCTAGAATTGGAGGCTTACCCTATTTGAAAGGAGAAAGATTTTTAATGGGCCATATAGCAAGGAAGGGCCTGAGCCATCAGTCCTTGAGATCACAATATTCTCATTTATCAAAAAGATATTTTAAGCCAGTTTCAGAGGTTTCTATAATTGTGCTTATTTATATTTTTTCCAGCTCTGGGCAGCCAGCTTAGGACCTGGGTAACAAAACCCCCTGGTTTTACAGTGCAAATAAAATAAATATACACTTGCTATAAAACATTCCACAAATAGCAGCTCGGGACCACTTGTGGCTAAGAGGGAATACCTGGCTAGGTAGAGTGGGGATGGTATAAAGGATCTATTGACTCCCTTTTGGATGACCTGCATAGCCCACTTGAGGTTTCAGCATCCCAAACACATGCCAATGAGACTGTTCTCCCACACTGACCCATCAAGCATTTCTATATTCAGCATTCACACCAGGTCTTTTGACAGCTCATATTTTCCAGGAAAGGCCTTAAGGAGATGTTTTAAGGCCATAGAGATGTCTTAAAAGTATTACAGCCCTTCTTTTTCTGCCACCCATCCAAAGAGAACTGACCTGATAGAAACATGGTCTGAAGGAGTTTGTGTGAGTGATCTCAGTGCTGGGAGGGAGCAGAGAAGCTGGCACACCAATTTCCCTGTAGAACAACAATGCCAATGTACATATTCAAACCAGGGAAGTTGAAATGATCATCCCTTTTGTGTTTACTGAACCAGAGTCTGTAGTAACACAAGGAAATCTTATGAGGGAGGAGTGGTTACAGATGATAAGCCAAAAGAAAGACAAATTGAAATTGTCTCCTTTTCTGCATAATTGTAGTGCAGAAATGAGTTTAGGGTTTTGTAGGTGTAGTTTCTTTTGTTTATTTTACTACCTGACAATTGTAAGGCATGTGAAGCCTTGTGTTTTCCCTATTTTTGCTGGAGGACTTCTCTGATGACCCAGGAAGGAGACTGAAAAGAAGGGTAGTTGAATCATTCAACAAAGAGTACTTTTCTCCCAAGGTATCAAATCTAAGTGCTAACACATTCAAGCAAAATGAGGTTTTAAGCAATCTGAATAAAAGCACTTTCATCTTAGATTACTCTGGGTTCACCTCGTGATGCTTCTGACTTCATAACCCTGACAGTTTTCTGGTCAACCATGGAGTCTTCCAGGAAGAATAGGGCTGGTAAGACCTGAGTTTCTAATGCAAATAAGAAAAGTAAGAGAATTTTTATTTTTCTTGGTAATAAAACTGTTTCAAGGCTTCTTTGTCCAGCAGAAAAGGACACAACTAGTTTTCCTCTTTTGTAAGGCAGAAGGTAGGGCAGGATGGCACTTAGAGACTACCTGTTTTTTCAACATAGCCAGAAACTCAATGCCAGAGACAATGGGGAATCCTGGCTTTCCACACTTGTGGATCTTAGGTAATAAGTGGGTGCTTGGCCTGGGTAAAAGGAGTGGAGCAGCTGGGGGTGCAGGGTGGAAAGTATATATCCTCTCTTGCTTTTCAGAGGTAGAGTCTTTAAAGAGGCTGTGTAATTCCCTCCCGTATTGTTCTGTGAGGTCCGTGGTCAGGATTTTGTAGAACTATGTGTTGGAGTGGTCTCAGCCTCCTGTATATGTACTGTTTTGACCATGACAATAGTGAGACCCTCCCTTATCAGCCTGTTGTATGATAATATCAGGGTTGTTTTTAAGACCAAGTATGGCTCTCTGTCCTATAGGACTAAGGTTGTAACATAGGCATTGTTTTATGGCAATCTCAGGATTGGCACAGAGGCAGAAACAATTTATGTACAGGTCCAAAGCAGGGCTGTGGCCCTCAAGTAGAGTCCAGAAGATGTTCTTCCTCCTGTTCTGTGTAGGGGTCAGGTCTTTGGTGCATTGGTCATTGCATGGCTCCACGTCATGGTAATCCTTCTTTTGTTAGAGGTGGCAGATAAAAGCCTCAAAGTCCCCATATAGCGGTAACTTATTGAATTGTGTAGTGGGGCAGAAGAAAAGTCCACATGATAGTACTGACACATCAAGGGAGCTGAGAGTGTGGCTGGATAGACTGATGATATTTCCTTTGGATTTTGGAATTGCTGTTGGAGAATTTAAATTTGGAAGTTTTGCTTACTTCATCCTCCCTTACAGAGTTTGCAAGAGGCTTCGTGGCTAGATGCAGAAATCTTTTCTTGGTAAACAGCTGTTTTGTCTGGATAGTTCCTTGTGCTGCTAGTTCTGCAAGTCTGCTGTTAATTTGTTTCTGTTTTGCAAGGTGTCACCCTGCCCTACCTTCTGCCTGACTTCTGACTATTGTGGCTAACCATCACCCTGCCCTACCTTCTGCCTGACTTCTGAATATTGTGGCTAACCCCCCCTCCACTCTCTTTTGTCAGTTATCTTTAACCCAGAAAGAACATTTACATAGAACCACTCTCAGTGAAATATGAGGAGGTTGGAGCAATCTGTACAGAGCGGTCCATGCTGTGTCCCACTGGTACTGCTGGATGTCAGACAGAAACTCCTGTTTGAGAAGGAACCAGCACCTGGGAATATCACAGAAAATCCCAGGGAGCCACTGCCAGGTTCTTGTTTTCAGCACTGAAAAAAACCCCAAACAGTAAGACAAGAGACTTTGAGTTCAGGGAAACACTGTCCAACTCCCAGGAGTGGAATGCCATATTTACATGCATACCATGTGTACCTTTCCCCAAAAGTCCTCCAAAACTGGGGAGTGTGTCTGAAGCAGGGAAGCTGTTTTTCAGCATGGACCAGAAGCATTGAGATGCTGTATAATGGCTCCTTCTTCTTTTCCTTCTCTTTCCTTGAGTAGCCACATGGAAGGAACAGACCTGAGTCTTCAGCAGCAGCTACAGTCAGTGGTATAACTAGGATGGGGTGACAGGGGCAGCTGCCCTGGGCATCAACTTGGAAGGACAGAAAAACAATGCTTGTCACCATAGCCACACAATCACGCCAGTGGTGGGGCAGCAACCAGAAGTTTCCATGCCCCTGTGTGTAGCAGCCTCCCCTTCCCTCCCCTCACTCACCCTCCTCTTCCTGCTCAAGCAAAAGCAGTCAATTAATCTGTAAAAGGGTTTTTTGCCTGAGATAGTTTTTGCCTGAGCAGGAAAGGGAGAGTGAGTGAACTGAATATCAGGCTCTGTCCCTGCTCCAAGCTCCCATAACTCTGGAAAAATCTTTTTTCTTTCTTCATTCTGCCTTTCCAAAAACAAGGTGCATGTCTCACTTGGGGGGAGGGGTGTAGTGTGCCAGAAAATATGGTATGCCTCTGACTCTGAGCCTTCCCTAGAGCCCACTTCCAGCATATGATCTTAAACAATTATACATACACACACACTTTTGAGCAGGTCTTATTTTAAGGTACATCAGAGCTGCTGCAGGTGAATGAAGCTGAGAGATGGGAGGTTAAATGCATTTTGTGATGTGCTGTTTTGAATACCAGCCCCTCACTCTTTGTAGACTGTGAGGAGTCAAGAGTTGTAGCATGTCCAGCTAGAGGTGTAACTGGTCATTACTGTACTCCCTCCACTATACCCTGCATCTTCCCTTCTGTGGCTCTGGCTCCAGCTCCAAAAGCAGAGAAGGCAGAGCAGTGATGGTAGAGCAGAGGCAGGAGCCAGAGGTTTGCTGCTGCTGAGAGAAATGTCACTTCCATTTTTTGCCACTGACGTTTGTCAAATACCAAAAAAAAACAGTCTTCAATACCAAAAAGGAGGTGATATCTCCCTCCAGCAGTACTGAATCACCAGCCATTACTCCTCCCGTGCATGCTACCATCACTTCTCTGACCTCACTGTTACTGGAGTTGGAGCCTTTGCAGGGAAGGTGCAGACCATGGGAGGAAAGGCAGGATAGGGGGACAGGAGAGTAAAGTGCCCTCCTTAGCTCCGTTCTGGTACCTCCCTTCCTCCCCTTAGGCAACACCTGGGGTTCATGCCCTGCTCACTAACCCATCATTACATTACTGGGCCCAGTGTTTCTAGCTCTCAGCACTTTATTGAAAGCATTGAGAGACTTGGTGTTCTTTCAGCTGCAGCTGCAACTGCAAGAGTCAAGTAATTATGTGAGTATTCTCTGGGTGTCAGGTGCTTGCATTACTTTGTAGATCTGTGTCTAAGAACCAAGAAGGGAATTCAAATAACTAAAAAATTATTATTATTATTTTGTAAAAATCTCATGAGTTTTGGGGCTTGTTTTATGATTTCTGAACACTTAGGGTCTGCAGCACTGACTGTTGTGGGAAGGTCTTTGTCACACACAGGTAATAGTCTCATCTGAGCTCTGATTTTGGGGTATGACATAAGTGGCATTGTGGAGGGTGCAACCTAATGCAGTGTTATGCCTTAGAAGAGAAAATGGTTTGAACTATGCTATACATAATCCCTAACAGGAAATTGGGGGATTATGAAAAATGAAATATGAAAAATAAACGCCAGTGGATTGAAATCTGGAAACCTCAGGATCCTGGGCTTTCTTTACAAAAGATAAGATCCCCTGATGATGTGTAAAATCCATGTTCATAATCTGGGTATCATGATCCATCCTGGGGTCTCTCACTATATGGTTTTTGATCTGTGTTCCATTTTAGTTCATGGACAGAATGCAGCTTCTTCTTATGCCAGCTAAGCACCAGCCTGACTTAATTTACCTTCGTCACGTGCCCCTGCGCCGAGTCCACCTCTTTACCTTCATCCAGATGCTCTGCCTGGCTGTGCTTTGGGTCCTCAAGTCTACTGTGGCTGCCATTATTTTTCCAGTGATGGTAAGAAGTCCCTCTTGATGTCCCCCCCTAGCTCCTGCATGGAAGAAACTCAGAGGCCACAAGTGAGGTTGCCTTTGTGCCGTGCAATTGTTGAGGATCAAAATTCAGTCCAAATTAGCAGTGCTGATTCCCCCATGTCATTTAAGAACTGGAACCACATTACCTCCCTCTGTATGTTTTATCATGGCAACTGAGGGCTGCTGGAGTCCCCCTGCTGTCTGGGCCTGTGAGTCTGATGCCTTCAGTGATGAACCCCATTGCTGTGGCAAGGGAGAAACTAGCCCTGGTTTGGAATGGCCAAAGCTTCTCCATTGATTTGTGATATTTAGGGCTTGATCCTGCTTTCAGTGAAGTCAATAGAAATTCTCTTCTGACTTTCCTGGT